CAATCCACTCACCTCAGCCTCCCAAAGCGCGGGATTACAGGCTGAGCCACCAAGCCCAGCTTACCTGGCTAATTTTTAAAAATTTATTGTAGAGATGAAGTCTCACCAACTTGCCCAGGCTTGTCTCGAACTCCTGGGCTCAGGTGATCCTCTCGCCTCCACCTCCCAAAGTGCTGGGATTACAGGCATGAGTCACCATGCCCGGCAAGGCAAAGATTTCTTAGATACAACACCAAAAGTACAGTCTGTAAAAGAAAAATGAATAAACTAGATTTAATCAAAGTGACATTTTTCTTCAAAGGACATTGTTAAAGAGACTAAAAAGCCACAGATTGGGAGAAAATATTTGCAAAGCATGTGTCTGGATAAAGGACTTGTGTCCAGAACCAATAAAGAACTCCTACAACTCAATGGTAAAAACAGAAACACCCCAATTAAAAAAAAAAACACACAAACGCCCCAATAAAAACCCAGGCAAGAGATCTGAACAGACACTTCGCCCAAGAAGGCCTACAGTCAGCAAGTAAACATGCAAGAAGACCTCTGCACCATCACCGGGAAACGCCAGACGCTCCTGCACCATGTCAGAATGGCTGATACCAGAGACCAGCTCCATCAGAGGTCACAGGCTCCAGAGCCACTAGAAAGCGCGTTTCCTACTGGTGGGCATGTGAAACGGCACAACTACTGTGGAAAAGTGTGTGGCAGTTTCTCAAGAAAGTAAACATCTACCTGCCACATGATCAAGTCATCCCACTCCGAGGTCTTTTCCCTCCAGAAGGCAGAGGACATGTCCATACAAAGACGCACATGTGAGTGTTTAAAACAGCTTTAGTCATCATTGCCCAACCTGGAAACCACGGAAGGTCCACCACCAGGTGAATGAGCAAAGAAACTGTGGTACATCCAGACAGTAGAACACTGCTCAGCAGTAAACGAGAGACCCAGCAACTCGAACAACACAGATAAACCCCAACAACGATGCTGAGTGTAGGCAGCTACAAAGAACAAGCACATGCTGTGGGACTATACCCTTTAGAGAAAACTACAGAAAATGCCAATGCTTCACAGTGACAGGTTGACCGGGGACAGGGAGTAGCATGGAGGAGACTGGGGCCGATGTCTATGCCCTCGTCTTGACTGTGGTGATGGTTTCCCAGGTATACAGATATGTCCAGACTTATTAGATTTTACACTCCCATGAAGTGCAGTTCTGCACACAGCAAGTTTTCTTAAAGAGCAGGAAGCAGCAGCAGGATGAGCTGCAGCACAAGCTGGCTCTTTCTGAAGTACATGCACACACATACATAATAAATCTCACAGAGAAACGCCTACAAGGGCCTGGCCAAGTCAGCAGAGTCACATTCAGGAGAGTCGGGAAGGGCATGGAGACTGTTCTGAGCAGGACACACAGTTCTGTACTGCGAGAGCTGCTCACGGTGGCTTTTTTACAGTCAGCTGTTGACAGTATGAGCAATGTCGCTGCAGACAGGCGAGGGGTGGCCCTGGACCCCTGGCCAGCCCTGCAGCTCCAGTTCATCTCAGCCCACGTTGCCTTACCGTCTTATGGATCAAGTAAAAGTCCTTCTTGTGGGCACAGAACGCCTTCTTGAAGAGCCTCTTCTCCATAGGGGTCCAGATGTCCGAACCTGTCAAAGAACACAACCAACGGGGAAGGACATTTTTCCTTCTGGGACCACAGCCACGCCTGAATTGCAGACCACCCTCCCCTTTAAAGGTGCAAATGCTTTATGTGTTAACTTCATACAAGCCTCAAAAGGGCTCTAGAAGGGGTCCACTTTACAGATGCAGCCACTGAGGCTTCAGTCACTTGCTAAAGGTGGCTGGTCTCCCGGGCTGGGGGTGGGCTCAGCCACTGGACCCCAGCCCACCTCCCCTCTCCCTGACCAAGAACCCCCCCCCTAGCTGGGCAGAGCCCACAGGGAAACCACTGGAAAAGGGTGAAGGTAGGATCTAACTGCAGAAAATAGGGCCTGCTGAGTCAGCCCAGCGACGACAGTCCCTCTGGAGAGGCAGACGACGGCCCTGGAGAACTCCTGGAGGCAGAGGCGCACTTGCAACAGGCTGCGCTGGTCATGGGGGCTCACTCAAGCCCACGCAGCCCTTCTCCAATCACCTGTGTAGCGATAGTCGGCAAGCGGGTGAGTCCCTGACTTGTAAGGTCCGCGGAGTAAGAGGGTCTCCAAGGCCACCTGGAACGAGGAGCCACAGGCTACGCAAGGTGGCCAGAGGAGGCAGGGACCTTCATTCTTTCGCTCATCTGGGAAGCACAGCCGTTCCTGCACTGCCTGTGCCAGGGATTCTCAATACAGCCCTGGACAGGCTGCCAACCTATGTACTCTCTGTGGGCACTTCCACCATGTCACTAGGCATGGCGTTCTGCAGCTGATGTTTGTCACAACAAGCCTATCCCGATGACGGGAATAGTGTGTGGACTGTTCTGGCACAAGCTCCTTACTCCATAAGGGCCCAGAGCTTTGAGGAGTACTACCCTTGCCAGGGCTCCGTTTTATTCCTTTCATAGCACTCATCATTAGCTAGCTAGCTAACAAGATTTTTAAAAATATTTTATACTTATTTAGAGAATGGCTCTTGCTATATTGCCCAGGCTGGCCTCAAACTTCTGAGTTCAAGTGATCCTCCCATTAGCCTACTGAGTAGCTGGGAAATGCCACTGTGCCAGGGTGTACAGGAAATGTGTTAAAAACCTGTTAACTATTGTCGGGCATGGTAGCGCGCGCCTGTAGTTCCAGCTACTCAGAAGGCTGAGGCGGAAGGATCGCCAGAGCCCAGCAGGTCGAGGCTGCGGTGGCTGGGAGCAGCCACTGCCCTCCAGTCTGGGTGACAAAGTAAGACTCCAACTCAAAAAAAAAAACCAAAACCTGTAAACTAGCTTGACAGGGAGGCTGAGGTAAGAGGATTGCTTGAGTTCAGGGGTTCGAGGCCAGCCTAGGCAAAATAGTGAGACCTTATCTGTTAAAATATGTACTTTTTTCCCCTTGTTTTAACTTTCCTAAAATGTAAGCCCTATAAGGGCAGTGATTCTGTCTCAATCACCAGTGTAACCCTAGTCATTGTGGCATTTGTGTGATTCACATGGCCCAGTGCAAAACAAAAATGCAGGGCTCCTTGTTCAAGTACTAAAAATTTCAAGACAGAGACACGTGAGCATTAAGCCAACTGTGAGCTAAGAGTCAGCCCTGGTCCCAGGGCTGACAACGTTATAGGCAGGAACCCAACACTGTGCTGCAGGTGGGAACCCTGTATGTGTTGCAGGGGTGATCTCAATACATGTGTGCCATAGGCGGGAACCCAATACATGTGAGCTGTAGCGGGGAACCCACTGTGGACCCAATATATACGTACTGACTACCCTACTGAGGCCCCTCAGTGTGCCAGACACTGCCTCCCAGCCTGGTAATGAGCAAAGCCGCAGCATGACTCCTGGGTCCCTAACACGAGCAATGTGACTATTCCTCTCCCATTTCTCAGAATTAGACTTTTAATTTACTTTCTAACTCTTAGAACAGAAGTATTTGTGCTGCCTCAGAGGGTTTTATACGTGAGTTTTCATCAAAAGGTAAAGCTCCATAAATAAACCAGATTCATGCAGGAGTTGAACGAGGCCCTCTGGACTCCCCTTCCCCAGTCCCACTCTGATATCTCTAGAAAACCTATCGTTCAGTTTGTTGCCCCAGAGTAACTGACTCCCTCAGCCCTCAACTGCACACTCCCCTACCCAAGGACCAACCCAATCCCAAAGGCGCTGGGGAGAAGAATGAGCAGTCTTTCCTCAGCTTTCATCAGCCGTGAGTCCGAGCAGATGGCACATCACATGCACCCAGAACCGCAGGCTCCAGGGCAGCAGGGGGACTCTCAGCCCTCCAGGCCCTCTGCCCAGCCCTGCCTCACCTGGATGTTGCCCTGGGCTTCATGCAGGCAGTGCAGGGCGAGCTCCAGGTTGGTACCCCCTCCTGGCATCACGCTGGAGCACGCCACGTTGCAGAGCTCAGTCACTGTGTTTCCCAGGAAGCAGCCCCAGTGGAGTGTGAGGAGAGAGACACAGGGGGTCAGAGGTGCCAAGGAGACGTTCCCAGACAGCACAGAGAGGGCTCCTCTTCACCCTCTCTCTCCTGCAACCTGACTGAGGGCTGGTGGAGGGGAGGGAGGGACCAGCAGGAGGAGAAACCCTGTCCCTGGCATTTGCCCTGGAGGCCTGACCAGTTACGTTGGGGGGGGGATGCAAAAGGCGAGAAGCAACACCAGGAGAGGGCCAACACCCTCCCACCCCCGAGGGCAACAGGAAGAGAAACTCCTTGGACTTGGAGGGAAAAGAAGGAACCTCGGAAGTTTGACCCCAAAGTCTCAGCCACCTCTCTCCTGTGTCTCGGGGTTGGTCATCACATCTCCCCACGGCTTCCAGACCAGAGGAGCAATGTGTTTGTCGACTCCAGCCAGCGAGCTATCCTGGAGCTCCGGGATCTCAGCCTGAAACCGGTTTCCTATGTTGATGTGTCTGAAACAAGGTCACACACACAGGCACGGGAGAGGGACACATGAGAGGGGAAAGGAAAGAGACATGCTCCACATGCCCTGCCCTTGGGCCACAGCCCACTCTGTGGAAATGCTCTGCCATCGCTCAGATGCCTCAGATACAGACCAACCCCCCGATAGACACACACAGGCATTCTGGAACTATCTCCAGGGACACTGCTTTACTGCTGTTTTTCTTTTCTCTCTCTTTTTTTTGAGCTGGAGTCTTGTCACCCAGGCTGGAGTGCAGTGGCATGCTCACAGTCACTGCAGCCTCAACCTGCTGGGCTCAGGCAATCCTTCCGCCTCAGCCTTCCAAGTAGCTGGAAACACAGGTGCATGCCGCCACACCCGGCTAATTTTTCAATTTATTGTAGAGACGAGGTCTCGTCAAGTTGCCCAGGCTGGTCTCAAACCCATGGGCTCAGGCAATCCTCTCACCTCAGCCTCCCAAAGTGCTGGGATTACAGGCTGAGCCACCGCATCCAACCCTTGCTGTTTTTCATCATCACCACATTCCTCTCTTGGGGTCAAGGCAGGGGAGGTGTGTGCTGATCCCTGGCATGCCTCTACACCACCCCACATGCATCCAGTCACATCACACAAGTACCCTCAAGTCCTGCTCTGTATCATCACCAATTCTCCCTAGAATCCCAAGGTCCAGAGCATTCTGTCCCTAATGCCCAACTATATATGTCTGAACAGAAGGAATGTTGGGGGATCTTCCTACTTATCCCCAAAGAAATTCACCACTTTCCTCCTAGGGAGTCTCTGCAGGTCTCTTGACCCCCACCACTAATGAAGAAGGGACCCCTGGGTAAACCAACACTGAAAGAGTAAAAGGTGTCCTTACTTGAAAAGACCCCCAGATTCTAAGACTGTTCCAACTTACGGCTCAATGCTGATCTTGGTGTCATCCTTCACCACACTGAGGCCAAAAGGACCATCCACTTGATCTAGGAAACACACAGTGAAAAGCCTCAAGAAGACTGACAGGAGAGGGCCCACCAGGCCCTTGGCCTGCCCTGTGGATACAGCTGGAAGCAGGCTCTTTAAGATCCTATGGCAGGCCGGGCATGGGGGCTCACGCCTGTAATCCCAGCACTTTGGGAGGCAGAGGTGAGTGGATTGCCTGAGCCCAGAGGGTTCGAGACTAGCCTGAGCAATTTGGCAAAACCTTGTCTCTACAATAAGTCAAAAAATTAGCCTGGTGTGGCAGTGCATGCCTGTGGTTGCAGCTACTTAGAAGACTGAGGCAGAAGGATCACCTGAGCCCAGCAGGTCAAGGCTGCAGTGGTTGTGAGAGTGCCACTGCACTCCAGCCCGGGAAAGAGAGTAAGACTCCAACTCAACACAAAAAAAAATAAATAAAATTTTAAAATCCCATGGGAGGGGCTAGGACTTCTGAAAAGGCAGAGGAAGAAACTCAAACAACAAATTAGCTGGGTGACAGAGTGAGACTCCAACTCAAAAAAAAAAAAAAGAAATACTAGCCCTAGACCTCCCAAATTTGATGGCAAACAATGCACACATTCAAGAAGCTCTAGGAACTTCGGGTAGGATAAACACAAAGAGATCTACATCTAGGCAAAATACTGAAAGTCATAGATAAAGACAGAATCTCAAAAGGAAAATGAGAAAGAAAACTGCATCACATATAAGGGAACCCCAATAAGATTAACAGCTGACTTCTCACTGGAAACAATGGTGGTCAAAGGCAGTGGTACCAAATTCACAGGGCTGAAAATGTTGAAATGTCAACCAAGAATCTTACATCCAGCAATTAGTTTTCAAAAATGAAAGTAAAATAAAAAGCATTCCCAGGTTTAAAAAAGTAAGAAAGTTTACGGGTTCATGACCCACCTGGGCAACTTGGTGAGACCTCACTTCTACAATAAATCAAAAAAATTAGCCAGGTGTGGTAGCACACACCTGTAGTTCCAACTACTTGGAAGGCCGAGGCGGAAGGATTTCCGGAGCCCAGCAGGTCAAGGCTGCGGTGGCCGGGAGCAGCCACTGCACTCCAGTCTGGGCGACAGAGTGAAACTCCAACTCAAAAATAAATAAATAAATAAAGTTTGTTGCTAGCAACCCTGCCTTATAAGAACATTATGGGTGGAACATTATTCACCCATAAAAGACATAAAGCACTGATACATGCTGTCCAGTGGATGAAACTTGAACACAAGATACTGAGTGAAAGATGCTTAGCACAAAGGACCACCCATGCTGTATGACTCCACTTATGAAATATCAGAATATAAAATCTATACAGGCAGAAAGCAGGTCAGTGGTTGCCTAGGGCTGGACGGGGAGGATGGGTAAGGAGCCACTGCTAGTGACACTGAGGTGTCTTCATGGGGTGCTGAAAAGTCCCAAAAATGGCTGTGATGATGGCTGCACAGTTCTGTATAGATGCTAAAAACCATTACATTATATAGCTTTTTTGTTTGTTCTTTGTTTTTTTAGAGAAAGGGTCTCACTCTGTCACCCGTGCTGGCATGCAGTGGCACAATCCTAGCTTGCTGCAGCCTCAAACGCCTAGGCTCATAGATATTCCAACTCAGTCTCCTGGGTATCTGGGACTACAGACATATGCTATCACACTCGGCTAAATTTTTTATAGAGATGGGATCTTGCTATGTTGCCCAGACTGGCCTCAAACTCCTGACTTTAAGCAATCCTCCCACCTCAGCCTCCCAAAGTGCTGGGATTACAGGCATGAGCCACCGTGCCCAGCCTGAATTATATAGCTTAAAGGGATGTATGGTATCTGAATTATATCTAATTACAGTTTCGTTTCGTTTTGTTTTGTTTTTGAGTTGAAGTCTCACTCTGTCGCCCAGACTGGAGTGCAGTGGCTGCTTCCGGCCACTGTAGCCTCGACCTGCTGGGATCCGGCGATCCTTCCACCTCAGCCTTCCAAGTAGCTGGAACTACAGGCGCGTGCTACCACGCCCGGCTGATTTTTTGATTTATTGTAGAGATGAGGTCTCACTGCCCAGGCGGGTCTCGAACCTGCGGGCTCACGCAATCCACTCACCTCAGCCTCCCAAAGGCGCGGGATTACAGGCTGAGTCACCAAGCCCGGCTTACAGTTATTTTTAAATCATTTTTTCCTTTATTTGGGGAAAAACTATTTTTATAATTAATTTATGTATTTTAGATTCAGGGGATACAAGTACATGCTTGCTACACGGACATCTTGTGTACTGGAAAACTCTTTTTTCTTTTTTTTCTTTTGTTTTTGTTGTTTTGTTTTGTTTTGGGGTTGGAGTCTCACTCTGTTGCCCAGGCTGGAGTGTAGTGGGACAGGCTGGAGTGTAGTGAGTGTAGCCCAGGTTGGAGTGCAGTGGCATGCTCACGGCCACCCCAGTGTCGACCTGCTGGGCTCAAGTGATCCTTCTGCCCCACCCTTCCAAGTAGCCAGAACTACAGGTGCATACTACCACACCCAGTTAGTTTTTTGATTTATTGTAGAGATGGGGTCTCACCAAGTTACCCAGGCTGTTCTCAAACCCATGCGCTCAGGCAATCCCCTCACCCCAGCCTCGCAAAATGCTGGGATTACAGGTTTGAGCCACCATGCCTGGCCTGGAAAATTAATTTAGAGACTAGGATTTTGTAGTCTTTGGTTAATTCAGGATTAGGTATACGAGTGGTTATCGTACAGGTAAAGTTTGGGCCTCCTTTTGGTCCCCACTTTGCCTGTATTGAGATCAGGTAGCCTTATTGATGTCATGTGCTCCCCAAAGTTCTTTTTTAAAAAATACTACAGAAAGTTCTTCAGACTGAAACAAGTGATGTCAGACAGTAATTTGAATCCACATACAAAGAACAGTGATGATAAAGATAACTATGAAGGTAATTACAAAAATATAGCATAATGCATATATTTCGTCCCTTTGCTTAATCAACTTGAGGAGCAACTGCATACAACAGTATATATCGTGGGACTGATCTGTGACAGTAATAACACAAAGGAGCAAAACTGTACTGGAGTAAGAAAACACCTGATAGAATAAACAGAGGGATCTAGAAATGGTAGATAAGAAGATTAATATAATAAAACTATACATAAAAGCCTCCCTTTATTCATTCAACTTTCTTTTTTTTTTCTTTTGAGTTGGAGTCTCACTCTGTCGCCCAGACTGGAGTGCAGTGGCCGCTCCCGGCCACCGCAACCTCGACCTGCTGGGCTCCGGCAATCCTTCCGCCTCAGCCTGCCGAGTAGCCGGAATTATAGGTGCGCGCTACCACGCCCGGCTAGTTTTTTGATTTTATTGTAGAGATGAGGTCTC